GCAGCTGCCTTCTAAGACCACACTGAGTCCTAAGGGTCTTGAACTTCCCCTAGGTCTATGGTTCTCTGACTGTTCTGAGTCCTCCGTCTCCCAGTCCTTGACCTCATGCAGACTCTGCCCTTCCACTTGTGCTCAGAACCACCCCAGGGACAGGGAAGGCCAAAAGGGTAAGCGGTCAAGAGGCTGCGGAGAGACACTGCATCACACACTCAGCTCTGGGCCTACAGGTGGTTTCATCCAAACAGGGCGCTTAGGAACACGAGATTTCATCAGAACCTCTGATTCATCAGAAGTAAGTTTAACCTAGGACAAATGTGAAGCATTTCACAAGTAAACATTCTTTGCAGCTTTGAGTAAACTCTTTGTTTTACCTTCCATTTCTTAATTCCATTTACAACTGAATCAAGGCTGTTAAAAAAAAAAAGGTCTGGCTTAAAAAAAGAAAACATAATACATACACAGAGTCAAATCATGCCGAGGCTGAAATGGAAAAGGGACTGTGTGGATCAAAGAATGAAACAACTGAAGAATGTTTAAAGGTTTATTTTCATGTTAAAAAGGATGCGTTTTACCCTGTGGTTAGAATATACCTTTATGCTGAAAAATGGAGTCACTTTATTTCTGAAATGTTTCCAGAAAAAAAGGAAAGGGGGGAAAAAAATCCCAAAGTCATGAAGAGTCAGGATCGGAACGTTGTGGCAGTCCCAGCAACAGCTCCAGCTCAAGCCACATCATCCTTCCCGGGCTGGAGTTCCGGAAGCAGCGCGGTGCGTGACGTTTCCTCGGGGCCTTCTCCCCACTGCTGTAGCTCTCTTTGAGTGAGATGTCTGTATATTTAAAAGCTACAGCTTATCATGCTTTTATTTTAAAATGTCCTTGGTCCAATATATCTCTCAGTGTTTCGGTACATTGCGTAGATTACACACAGAAATCCCTGCTGGCCACACACGAGCGTAACTTGCCCCCCATCCTTCCTGTCACTGTACATAGCAGATGCGGGGCATTACAGTTAGGCGCAGACGTTTAATGGAGACGGTGGTTGTGGAGTTTACAAACCATTTACTGTGTCAGAACAGAGCTTTATATGGAGTCTGGGGACCACAGATTTGAGGATTCAAGGAGAACACACAGGACCCTCCGTGACTTGGGGTTAGGGTGGAAGTGCCCTCTGGTTGCTGCTGTGGGTGGAGTTCTCTGAGGGACACAGCCTCCCTGCAGTCTCAGTATTCCAACTGCAAGAAGGGGCCTTTTGAACAGGGTTAAGCAAGGATGCTGATCCAAATACACAAAGGTAGCCTTTCCCGAACGTAAACACTACCAAGGTACACATGAGACAACAACAATAATAATAATAATACATCTTTTCCTCCATGTTGGTCTTTTCAGATAGGAACTTTCTGGCTAGATGCTACAGATCATTCTGCTGGGAACTTACCCTAGTCAGTGGGCAAGGTGTAACAGCAGGAGGTCGGTGTTCTCCTCTCGGTGTGCCGCTTCCTGGAGCTTCTGAACTGGTGTTCTTCTGAGGGCCGTTCTTCTTGTTTTCTCTCCAATGGAACAACACACCTCTCGTCCGACAGCCGCTTCTCCGTGCCAGTGCTGTGGCTTCTAAGCAGTGGTACCTAGGGCATCTCTACCTCAGGTGGCTCAGGTGGCCCAGGCCATGTGGTCCCCATGTGACTGCTAAACCTCTCACCACGTGGCTCCCAGAGTTCACAGCCTAGCAGTATCCTCCCCAGAGGCTGTGCCACCCTGGGCAGAGTCTCCCTGTTCCCTTCTTACGGAAAATCATGGACAGGGTGGGCGTGCTTTACTTCAGACCTCAGCCCTAGAACCTGGCCAATCAAGGAAATGCCTGGCCCCCAAAGAACTGGACTGTGAGGCTTAAGACTGGATTGTCCCACATGTTGCTTTAGGAGTTTGGGGGAACGGTACCTATTAGTTTAAAACCACTAGTTAGGAAATCAGGTGCTTTTATCAGCAAGAAGTGTTTAGAGAATTTGGGACACCAGTGAAATTCTCTTAAGCTGTGTCAAATCACAGTCACTCAAAGTCACTGTAGACTCCTGCTAAATACACCCCAAGTCTGGGGTATGTGCACATGTATGTGCTGTGTGGTAAGGAGACTCCTCCCCTGGGGCCTTCCATCTCTATTTCATGCGGAACTGTTCAAATTCTAATGTAAACGAGCAGAGATGACGTACATCCCCCTAGACAGCCCAGACTTAGTCAAAGGAATGGTCTTTAGTGCAGCGCCTCCTGCTGTGCCTGGAAACCACAGCCATGCTTTACAACCCCACTGGTCCCCCAGAAACCACAACCACACTCTATCATCCCTGCTAACCCCCTTCCAGAAACCGCAGCCATGCTCTAACACCCCCAGTAACCCCCCAGAAACCACAGCCACGCTCTAAGACCCCCGCTGGCCACCTGGAAACCACAGCCACGCTTTACAACCCCACTGGTCCCCCAGAAACCACAGCCACGCTCTAAGACCCCAGCTAGCCTCCTGCACTCGCCACACACCCATTGCACAGAAAACGCTCTCCATGCCATTCCACTGCCTCCCCCACAAAATGACCCTCTGCACTAGGTCTTGCCCTGCCAGGAGGAGACGGCCTGGGTGTGGCTGCCTGACTAGTTTAGTTGAGTCCCCTCTTATGTTCCAGAAATGAATCTCCTCTCTGTCTGAGGAGTTGAGGCTCCAGGTGGAGGACCAACTGTCAAGGTCTTAGAGCAGGAGCGGGACTGGCGCTGCTGGCTGTTCCAATTAGCACGGGGCTCTGCCTGCACTCCCTATACTTGGACTGAGGGCACCTCTCACCCAACCTTCTCAAAAGTCACAGGGTTGCCTTCGGCCACGTAAGGAGCTCTTTCTGCAGGGCAGTAGGTATCTCTCGGCAAATTCCTTTTGCAGTCAATGCTCTGAGAGCCTTGGTTTTAGTCTCTGTTGTAAAGAATTGTTGCATTGTCGACTTAAAGTGCCCTTGTGCACAACAGAACAAAACTCAGCCTGGTCACGTACCACCCTCACCATCATTGTTGTGGGTGAGCTCACTGCAGCAGAACCACGTCTGTCTCCCTCGCTGAAGGTCTTCCTCTTTTTCGCTGACCCTCTACTTAGCATGATATCCTCCAGATAACACGTCCAACATTTATTCTCTAGACCCAGAAAGAATCTGCAGAACTCCACAACGTCAGCCCCATTTTCACACTTGTTGATCTATCTGAACACCAGTCTCTGGAGGACGGGACCCTCCCCCCTTCACCTGTCATATACGTACTGCTGACAAACACAGCATGCCCCTATGGGCTGAAGAGTCAGAGGACAAGGGCTGGGGCTGTCAACGCAACAGGACCCCAGAGGGGCTCGTGCTGCCCCATCCACGGAAGGCTGTAGGAAGAGGGAAGCCGAGTTCCAGCCCCGCAATAGCTGAGTCGTTCACTTTTTGAAGCCATGAAGCTGCTTCTGATGACTTCCTGAAGGCCCTTCCATCTCTTAGTCCTTAAAGCCCTATCAGAGAAGCAGAGGGCTCCACTAAGCTTTTCCTGGGGCACAGCCGCCTGTCTTCTGTTTTTCTTTGCAACCCCATCTTAATGAGTGTGTTGACACATTTCCTGATCTGCAGGTCATGCTTTGCTTGAGACCATTCATGCTGTTCTTTAAATAGCATTTTCTGCTTTCAAATTGTTCAGAGATGAGGCTTTTTCCTCTCCTGGCATCTGTGTCTCCCCTCACCCTGTACACACACACACACGCATACACTCTCTCTCTCTTTATAACTCTCCCTCTCTCATTTTCAAACACAGTCCTTTTTTATAACTGCTTCTTGGGCTCTGGAGGAGTTGTTTCCTTTTCTGAATCTCCTTTTGGAGAAGCCCACCACATTCATCCATCAGTACACAGTCCAGGAAGGTCTTGTCTCTGCCAGAATCGTGAGTGAGGAATTTTTCTTTTTTTGGTCATTATAAGATAGAAATCTAGAAACTGTTAGGAAGAAATAGCATTCTACATACTTAAAATTTTTCTTTTGTTCTGGGAAAGTAGGAAGTTTAATCTGCAGCTGTTTCCCTAGGCAATTTCCTTGCTGCGTCTACCAATTTTTCACTCAAATTTGGATACTAATTGGGTTGCCTGCAAAGCACTTGTATAAGGACAGCCCTTCGCAGGCCTTTTGCTCTCAGAAACGGCACTCCACATGGTCCCCAAGCAGAGGATAAAAAGGAAAATGCCTGTGGTTCCCAGCTTTTCCCTAACATTTTCCAGCTTCATGTAGGAAATTGTAAAGAGGTGGCCCTGCCTTGCGGGATCTTACCATTTTAGGGGAAACCTCTTGTCCGAGTCTGATACGAGAAAGTCCAGGGAGGAAAAGGCGGAACCACAGAGGGCGCAGTAAGCATCACAGCTACCGTACCTGCACACCGACAGCGTGGAGAGTTGGAGAAAAGCTGGCGTCTGTGCGAGCACCGAGGAGGTAACACGACGTGGCAAATCCCAGTGAATAAAACTCAGAGGTAAAGCAAACAGATCTAAGGGGAACAAGGAAACTCCTTCTCTTCATGTTTCAAAAAAAAGAATTCCATAGGTCAAAGGAACCGGGTGCAGGTGCAAATGTATAGAAAAATAATGAGCAGTGCTCGTAGCAATAAGGAGCGCCACCTTCAGTTCTCTTTCACAAAGGGCTAATCTCAGGCCAAGGGCAAGGAGTGTCCACTGTGCTTTAAAAGGTCTAGGAATAGAAAAAATCAACACCCAAATCTTTTCTAATTCCAAACGGCTGTTCATCACGAGATGACTAACAATGGCTGTCTGTCTGTCTGTGGGGTCAGGTTTGCTCTTACCTGCACTCAGCTAGTACCAGGCAAGATGGGGCGATTGTCTTGGGATTTCTCCGGTACCCATGAGTGCGCTTTCTCACAGGCATTTCCTGACTTTGAACCTGTCCTTGTCAGCTCTCCTCACCTTGGTGACTGATTCTAAAAGGGATCCCACCAGACCACCACAAATTAAGCTTTGTTAAGTCATCCCCTATTGCTGATCAAACTGACGGCTCCACCATTCAGAAAACAGAAGGCATAAAGGTGAATACAAACATAAGAAAGGAGTTTACATCTGGTCTTGCAGTCTCTCCATGTAGTCTCTGAAGTCCTGGGAGTCCCCCAGCCCCATATCTTGGCAGACCCACTTGATGTTGTCATCACTGTCAAACAGGATGGAGTTGGTGTAGGGGCCACCATCCTCGGGGAGAATGGTCGTGTAGGAAGTAAACTTGACCCTCTTCCTCTTTGGGCCTGGCGGATTGATAGGCTCGCTTTTCATGTCTTTCTCAAAGACATAATCAGAAGGTCTGAGCAGCTGGCCGTGGAAAGCCTTCTGGGAACTGCCGTTGAGAAGGAAGTTCCTCTCCTCGAACTGCAACCCCCTGTCTATCATGGTCGTGCACTCCTCGGACGGGAGTGTGATGTCAACGGGGTTCTCCAGCAGCTCCACCTCATTCCCAAGCCAGACCCAGTCGTGGGAATGAGGGATGTTGCCTTGCTCGCTCACGGCAAACCTTTTGTGTCTGTATTTCCAAGCAAACGCCACGCAGTTGATTAAGAAGACCAGAATGGCCAGACAGAAGACACAGAGCAGGGCGTACATGCCGATCTCCAGGTCCGTGAGGCCCCGGGAGGTCACGGTGAGGTCACTAGGATGGTTGGGCTCTGGCGACTTGCCCTGGGTGGGGAAGCTGGTGAAGGCGTCCGGACCCCCACCCTTGAGGAGCTTCTTCTCCTTGCCTTCCGTGGGGGACTGCAGGGTTGTGCTCTTGTCGCTGCCCTCCTCGTGGCCAGCGGCCGCGCCGTGCTGGAACCACTCCTGAACCGCCCTCTCCTGGTTCCCTTCACGTTCAATGGAATTGCTCAGGTGGTCTTTGTATTCCCGACTCACACCCTCAATGTCATTGGTGCCTCCTTGGTGCTCACCCACACTTGATTCGAACTTGACCTTGACATTCCCTTTACCCACAGCAAGAACACTCTTCCTCTTGGTCTTCTGACAAGGTTCACTTATCATCATTTCTAACTTAATCAAAGGTCCTTGTCCTTCGCCCTCTGCAATGACAACTGGCCACTTGGACTGAAGGTTTGGCTGCACGGACACCACCATTTCATCCAGCGACGAGACAGTCACTGAAAAATCCTTGGGATCATAAATGTCTAGAGGTGTCACCGAACCATCGCTGAACAAAATCCAAGAGCTGACTATTGCTTCCTAAGAAAAATGAAACCAAAGCATTATGTTATCATTAAGTCCCATCACATTTGCACAAGTAATTATAATGTTCTAACTAATATTCTCTAAATGTACATAACTGAAAAGGAATTTCCAAGTACTAAAACTACCTGTTTCAACATAGTGAACACATGTGATCATCTCCAGTCACGGTCCAGGAGCAGACTACCTGCCACATAGAAGCCCACTGAGATGCAAATGGCCTGTGGACACATGTCTATTCATATATGAAGTGCACATCCTCCAAGGATACCTTCTGTGTTTATGACCTTAAACAGTTTCTGGCATATCCTGCATCAATAATACTCTATAGTTCCATTGAAGGGAGGAAATAATGAACTTTAGCTAAGGCACTGAAGTCTGTATTATCTTATTGCATACTGTACAAGGATGGAATTTTACTTTGGTCTTTCCCAAATCATTTGTAAGCTCAGGCAATGTATCTGAATCAAATTCAGATGTAACCAATCTCAGATGTAACCAATCAGGCTGCTGCCCGAGATAATATGAGTTTGAACATTCTTTATTAGGGACCCAATGCTGATGAGGCTGGAGGAGCACGTGGGACGGTGCATTAGGAGACCGGCTTGCTTGAAAGACACGGCGACCCTGGTGTCTCTGAAAACGACTTGCCTAAACTGAGCAGATGGAGGAGAGTTTTTAGAGCAGTCGACAGTTTGGTGTCCTTTAGCATCTTGTGTTAGTAACTGAAAAGGAATTTCCAAGTACTAAAAATACTGGTTTTGATAGAGTGAACACATGTGAGCATCTTCAGTCACAGTCCAGGAGCAGACTACTGGCACACAGAAGCCCACTGGGACACAAATGGCCTGTGGACACATATATAAAGGAAATATAAAAATATAGAGCCTGTAGGCTGTCCATATATAAAGGAAATATTCTCCTGGACACTGAGCACTTTTCTCAAATTTAACAGATGGGGGGAGAAGCAGAAAGAAGCTTCCAGAACCGCCTGCCCTACTTGTGATGCTCTCTTGATCTCTGTTGTTGGATGTGCTAACGAGATATAAGACACTTCACCTGAGCATAGATACAGGGGTCCCTGGACTCTTACCTGCTGTGGGGCTTGAAGAACATCGTGGGCAGTCACTGTTGAGACGACGGCTCTTCTCTCTGCTCTGTGAGGCTGCAGGGAGAGAGACAGGCCAGCCACCAGCTGCACGCCCAGCTCTGCGATGGTGACACGGTCATCTAGGACGATCACGGTCTTCTCAGCCAGGATGGAGTCAGAGAGAGGCGAGAGGACCTTCCAAGGCAATGAGAAAGCTCAGGTCTTGGCACCACACGATCATTTTAAACTCCTTACCTGATGTTCCCACCAAGGTGTTCTCTGCTACATGCATGCACTTAAAGAAATGGATGAGGAGACTGTGAATCTATTGTTCAATTACACCTGCCTGCTGCATGAGGAAGTTCATAAGGACCATTGAGTGCATGGCTTTCCTCTCATCCATTCAATGTTACCAGGAGTGTATTTCTGAGAAGAACTTTATTTCATTTTGGGACAATAACTTAAAATTGTCCATCTTGGACTGGGTGTGGAAGAGTAACATTGCCCCATCAACTCATGGTTATGCTTCAAAATAGCAGGATTCTAGTACAACTACTTAAAAGAACAGGGCTCAGCCACGTCCTCTCACTCCTATCCCTCCTGTGGGCAATGACATGCTCACCATGGGACAGTACTCCTCACCGTGTGGGCTGCCACGTCACCAAAGGATAAGACAACTGATAAACTGGAAAGCAGAATTTGAATGATCTGAATGAATGCCCAAAAGACCTTTCCTCCCTTACTAAGTGAATTAGCAACCAGATGTGCCTAAACCTGGAGAGGAATACGTGTATACAGCATTCCTGGAACGCCACCCCCGCTCCACTGCCATGGAGTAGGTTTTCCAAGGCTACAATGTTTGAGGAAGCAGACTGTCATATT